CCACTCCTCCACTTGCACCTGGCTGAATGACCTTGGGCAAGCCGTAGTTCTGATAAGAGCTGTTTTTGAAAAAGAGCAGTTTCTGTCAAGCGCTCTCTCAGCCCCACAACATACACACTGTGAGGTAGGTGAGGCTGAGACAGCTCTGACAGAAACTGCTCTTTTTCAAGGACAACTGTGCCAGAACTATGGCTTGCCCAAGGTCATCCAGCAGCTGCGAGTGGAGGAGTGGGGAATCAAACCTGGTTCTCCCAGATTAGAGTCCGCGCTCTTAACCACTACACCAAACTGGCTCTCTAAACCAAGCAAGAGCTCCAAGAGGACCAAACAAGAGCTCCAAGAATTAAACTTTGTTGGTCTTAAAGGTGCCACTGGACACAAACTTTGTTCTGTTGCTTCAGACCAACACAGCTACCCACCTGAATGTATGCAAACCAGAATTTGCCAAACAAAGCTTGAGTCCAGTGGCACCTTTAAGACCAACAGAGTTTAATTCTGGGTCTAAGCTTTCGTGTGAATAAACTTTGTTGGTCTTAAAGGTGCCACTGAACTCAAACTTTGTTCTGTTGCACTGGAACAGGTATTCTTAAGTACCACTGCTAATGAAATATTGAGCAGCTATCCTACCTTAAGCATGTGTGGACCCTAATAATTTGTTCAAGTAACTTTGTGAAGTCTTTTGTACAGTGTAACCTTATTACCTGTGTAGAGAGCCCTCTTGAATAATTCTGGTATGTTGTGGGGAGGGGAAGGGAAAGGATTTTGTAAGCCGCTCTGAGACTCCTTTGGGTAGTGAAGGGTGGGGTATAAATCCAATCTCTTCTTCTTCTTTATGGCTGAGTTTGCACAGACTTGGCCTCCCAGGCACTGCCACTGCCACCGCTGCCGGGCTCAAAGTTAGGGCAAAAGAAGGAGGGGAGAAAGAAGGGGGGGTTGGCTTGGGGGGGAAAGAGAAAGGGAAATATGGGGGGTTTTGCTTGGGGGGGAGAGAAAGAAGGGGGATGGCTTGCGGAAGAGGAGAGAGAGATAAAGAAAGAGGGATCGACTTGGTGGAGAGTTGTAAAGAAAAAGGAGGGATTGGCTTGGGGAGAGAAAGAAAGGCGAAGGGGGGAAGATGGAAGGAAGCAAAGGTGGGGAAAGAAGCAAAGGTGAGAAAATGCCTCCTCCCCGCAAGTTTTTTGTGGGTCCCCCGTTGTCCAGTTATAATACTGATGATGTGAAGTTTGAAATGTAACATTTGTTGTAGGAATTCTAATGGAGAAGATTGTAGTGTAAAAAATGAAGTGAGACATACGTACTGTTTTTTTCCTCTACTGAAGGACCTCTCTGTAGACCACTTTGGTGGTTCTGCCCTCAAGTGCTAGGATCACCAGGCTGCTTGGTGAGCTCACTCTGGAGCAGGCCACATAGAACTGTCCACGTGAGAAGCAGTTGTCTGTTAAGTCAATTCCTGCCACCTTCGGTGTCTGTCCTTGGGACTTGTTGATGGTCATAGTGAAGCATACCTTGAGAGGGAACTGCAGCCTCTTGAACTTGAAGGTGTTTTCTGATGGTATGAGTGGTATATGTGGTATGAACACCGACTCTCCCCGAGCACTGCCGGTGAGCAGTGTAGCCTGTTCCTGTGCAGGGCCTTCAGTTGCAGTCTGGTGCCATTGCAGAGTTTGGGTGGGTTGAGGTTCCGCAGCAGCATTAAAATATCCTGGCCCTGCTCCTACACCTGACAAACACCCACCTGTCTGGTGTGTGTGTGGGGGATTGTGTTTAAAAGCATCAGGGAGGCTGGGCCAGCAGCAGCACTAAGGCAGTCCTGATGAGCAGGTCTCCTCGATGGCTGTAAGTATCCCATCCCCTCTCCTACACCTGACAGCCAGCTGCCTATCCAGTGTAGAAGGGGGAGGGGTATTGCAAGCTATTGTGGAGGCTGGGTCAGCAGGATCACTAAGGCGTTACTGCTGGGGTGGGCTCCCTCATGGCTTCAAGCACCCTGCACTCGCTACTGCACCTGACAGACAGGCGGGGGGGGGGAACGTGTTTGAAGCTGCCTTGGGGACCCTATTTGGATGGAATGGTGGCATATAAATGTTTTAAATAAAATACCATTGGAAAAAAACAATATTGCTAAAAAGAAATGATATAAAACTAAGTAAAACAGGATATGGTTACTGCAAGATGTATTTGTTTTAATGTATGGTTTTAATTTCCTGTGTCTCTAAAGATTTATCAAAATACACAGGCTGATCTACAAGCATTTTTTTTAAAATTGGCTTTTGTATACACATATTGGGATTAAAGTATTATAAGTGTATTACAGTAACTCAAATTACTGTAAAGAAAAATTTAATTTAAATAAATCCTGTTATACATCCCAGAAAATTATTCAGAAGTTCAGGGGCACGTCTTCTTTGAATTATTAATAGATAAAATGAATTAAATGATGTAACTATTTAAACCCTTAAGGATATTAAGGACCCTCAATTAGAGTAAAACCATGTAAAGTCCACATCAACAAGCCCTTGGTGGTTATCGTAAATCAATCATTAACTGAGGACACCTTCCTTCAGCCACTCAAAGAGGCAGTTATCTATCCACCTCTTAAAAAACCATCCATACAAAAAATGATGTGGCCAATTATTGCCCAGTCTCTAATATGCCCTCTCTGAGCAAAGTAATTGAGAGAGCAACTCCTGACCAACTCCAGATCTTCTTGGATAACTCATCAGCTCTGGACCCTTTTCAGTCTGACTTCAGGCCAGGCTATGGAACAGAGAGGCTCTCGTGGCTTTAGTTCAATTCAATTCAAATACCTTTTATTGGCATACAATATTAGAAGCATTTCCCAAGAATACAATCCAAAAGAAATTATAAAATAGATAGCCGTGGCTATGTCAGGCCTAACTCAAGTTGTCACAAGCTAGATTTGACCATACAAAAGATGCCTGAATCATAAAATAAATTGGCATTCTAAACTTTTAAACTTAAGTTTTTAGACTTATAAATTAAGAATCATTAATATGATCAGGGTCACTCTTCCGTTTTATAAAACCATGGAGAAACTTAGCGGTCAGTTCAATGATCTCCGGATCTCGTCAAGCAAGGAGAAATTGTACCTTGATTCTATCCGATTGGCCTGCTACCAACCTAAGGGGGGCTTCTATAAACTCCACTCGAATGTCATTTAACAATTTACAGTGTAAGAGTACGTGCTCAACAGTTTCTATTTCACTTCTATTACATCCACAGAACCTTCTATTACATCCACAGAATAAGGAATTTGCTTATATCTCCCCTCAAGAATAGCAGAGGGGAGAACATTAAGACGGGCCAACAGATAAGCTCTCCACATTTGCGGTGAAGTCAGACAGAAAAAGTAATAGGGTAGAGCACCAGAAAGGGGATAGGCCCACCTTACTGAGGAGCACCTTCCGGAGGCAAGGGCTCTGAGCTCTTGCAGCTCTATATCAATAAGCCTCTGTTTAAGCAAAGTAAAGACCTCAAGCTCTGACCGGATGACAAGGTCACTCAGGTTAAAACCAATAGAAGTGATTTTCTTTTCAATAGTCGTGGCTTTAGTTGATGACTGTACACAAAAGCCTTGATACAGCAGACCATGCCATCTTGTTGAAGCACTTGGATCCAGAAGAAGATACCAGGGGATGGGCTCTAGACTGGTTCAAATCATTCCTCACAGACCAGACTCAAAGTGTTGCCATTGGAGACTTGCTGTCATCAATGTGAAACCTTCCATGTGGGGCACCACAGGGCACAATCCTACCCCTCATGCTATTCAACTCTATGTAATTCCCTTAGGAGAAACCATTCATAATTTGGGGGGTTGGCCATCTTCAACATGCTTACAACATTCAGCTCTGTATCTCCTTATCAAAACCTCCTGGTAGAGGTCCTGAATGTGACCTGTTTGCTGTGGTTATGTGGCTAAGAGTAGCTAAGAGTGAACAAATTGAAATGAAATCCTCACAAGACAGAGGTAATGCTGGCTGGAAAGATGGATCCCACCTTTGATGGGATTTGGCTGACCCCTGATGACTCAGTCAAGAGTATTACTTGATGGGATTTGGCTGACCCCTGATGACTCACTCAATTCAGTATTACTGCTGGAAAAGTTAATACAGCTGCAAAAAACCACTCAGTTTAGCCTACTTTCTTCCCAGTTTAGCCCAGAAGAGGGCCTCCTACCTTGACTTAGTCAATTTGGCCACCTGGATCCATTTCTAGATGCAATGTACTCTATATAGGTCTGCTCTCAAAATCAACTTGGAGATTCCAGCTGGTGCAAATGCTGCTGCTCGGTTATTACCAGGAGCTAGATGCGGCATGCATTACTCCCATTCTGCAAGAGTTCCATTGGCTGCCCATCAGTTACTGGCTTCAGTTTAAAGTACAGGCAATCACATACAAAGCCCTTTATAAGGATCACCTCTCCTCCTATGCGCCACCATGACAGCTTCACCTGAGCAGGGCCTTCTGTAGGTGCCACCGTGAAAACAGGCAAGATCGACAACTGCCTGTTCACATGCATTCTCCGTTGTACCCCCACCTTATGAAATAACCTCCCTAATGAGGGTAGGAAGGCTCCCACTCTCCTGGCATTCTGCAAAATATGCAGAATTGATTTATTCAGGAGGGCAGTTTTATAAAGGTAATGGGACTATATTATAAGAGAACAGTTCAGGAAGATTCTTTGATAAAGAGAAATGGACTATGCTACTGCGTATAGTAAGTACTATCTGTTAATGTATGTTTTACCCTACTGTGTAATTTCTGCATTTTTAAAAATATAATGCTAATACTTTTGCTTTGTTTCACCTTTCTTTTAGATTGTTGCTTGGTTTTAGATTTCTGCAGTTGCTTATTGGATATCCCATTCCTAGTGATGGCGTTGATTTACACTGTGCAATCCCCCTTAAGAATCACTGAGAAAGTTGAGCTATAAATAACAATACCCCCCCCAAAAAAAACCCAACAACAAAAAGGCAGGAATAAATATCATAAGGAATTTTTATTTTGAAAATATGGCAAGAGTCTAAGGCACTTCAAACATTTAAATACATATGACTGAAGTGAACGTGACAGGGTTTTCCATATAGACATGCCTAGAACAATGTTTGGTTCCACTGGAGATGAACAGCAAACATTATTGCTACGCATCCTCCAACATACCTCAGAGATCATGTAGACAGTTAATAAAAACCTAGTAACAGTTATGTATAATGTATTTCTTTATTATGGAATAAAAATGTCAAAAATACTGTCTCTTAATCTTCAATATAAAAGCTATACAAATCGGCAGCAACCGTTTATTTCAGAAGAGACCGTGGCTTGTCTTTCACTGTGAAGCCATCAGCCCACCAGCCAACATTCCAAAGAGCTGGCAAGGTAAGCAGTAGCCGCCTTTTAGATTAAACTAAGCATTGCAATGGAACTAAACTATTTCGGAATGATGTTTATGATGCCAACAATCCCAGCAAAAGCAAACATAAATATTAATTAAGAACACCATTTTAAAAAGCCAACAAGATGTGTTGGGGTGGGGTGGGGAATAGTCATAGCTAACAGATAGCTTAAAACACTTAAACGTATGTAACATAGCAGGGGGATATATATTCTGCATCAAAGAAAAATAGGATTTCTGTGCTATTTCCTGAAGGTTGAAAAGATGGGTAAAAGTAGTCAGAGGCCAACAGCTGCCACACAGAGGCAATTTCTTACAACTATTCCCACACAGCAAGTATTACATATCTACCATCTTGCCACAAAATCAGATGGTTTTCTATGCACAACCACAAAACCTTTGCAGTCCTGCAGCAAGTGTGGAAAAGAATGCCTAATCTGTGTGGCCACAGGGAGCAATGTAAAGATTCCACCTGGCAGCCACACTGTGGTGCACTTATGCTAAGTAATATCAGCAAGGATAGTGTCCTAACCCCCCCCCCCAAATTGGTATTAATCTGTCTGCTTTCAGATTGCTGGTGAGCTCAGGCACAATACAATTACATTCAATATCTGTCACTGTAAAACAGTAACTACTAGCAGCTTGAGAGAGGTGGACATTGAGAGTATATATGTATTTGTAGCTAGCAATCAAATGTGCCTCTAAGGGTAGGAGCAGGAGATGGCTTTCTTCCAAGCCTCGGCGTTCCCTGAGAATAAAAAAAATACAAGGGCTGTTAATTTAGGAAATAATTAAGCGTATTACAGAAAGCTACTGGACCCTTCAGCTTACCAAAGACTTCTATTGAGTTCAGGTTCATTGGATTGCAGCTTCATCATCTACTGTGCAAGTATGCAACAATATGAGGGATGCTAAAGAACATGGTTCCTCAGATGCAAGAAGCAAACATCAAGAATGAGCACTGATACCCCGGAGACAGCAGTGCACAAAATACAGCCCATTAATGCCTATCAGTGTGGCCTGCAATTCCCCTCCAGCAATTTGGTGACTCAGAATGCACTGCAGGACTCCAACTGGCTATAGCTCCTAGAAGGGGGCCAGCTCACCAGCGTCAGGGCAGTTGGGTGCCAAAGAAGCAACACAACAAGAGATGGGCAGAAAGTGTTAGGCATGCTGCTGAAGTGCTGACACCTAGGATGTTTTCCCTTTAATATACTAACAACAAAGCCTACAGCCAGCTTTCAAATAATAAAACTTGACTGACAGCTGAAGTGCTATCTCCCCTCTTCTGTACAACCCTGAGGGAAACTGAGGCTGCATGAGTCTGTAACCTGCAACTTATCTATGAAATGACATGGTGATCTTCAACTCATCTGCTTGAGCCCAATGAGTTGCCAAATCCTCAGCATCCCAAACTCTGAAATTTATTGGAGCAGGCCTGATGATGCCATGGTGATATCATACTTTCACAATAAAACCCGCTTAATTCCAGCCAAGTGCGATTCTGGCCTATGTAATGTTTTGAGTTGTGTGGCACAGCCCTGAGAAAACCTCATGTTTTCCCACTTTAGATATAACAGTGTCTAACGAGGTCAAGTGAGGAACCACCTTCCTTATCAGGAGTTCTAACTGCAAGACCCGTCCTTTTTCTTACTTACAAGTCAGAAGTCCACTAATTTGACAGAGTAAACATCCCGATGAAAGATGTCTCAAGTAGAATTGCTACACTGAGGGTTGTAAATGTTGTAAATGAAACAAGGCCAGGTGGGAGTTGAGTAAAGCCAAGGAATATAAACCAACAGTCAGTTTCAAACTACTGGGGGTGAGATGAGCTGGGGTTGGCAGACATTTGGTTGGAAGAATCCAAGAATGTTGAAATATGTGGAATATGCTATACTAGAAATAAGGCCCGTTGTGGAAATAAATACAACGAGATCTAGAAAGAGGCTCTGGGAGAGTGCTCTGGCTTTGGGCAAACAGTGTCAGTCTGCTTTTAAAACATGAACCTGGGACCTGCACACCCCCAGAATACAGCAGGTTCCATATGCAACTGACATTCCAACTGCCTTGCGGGGGGGGGGGAGTTTGACGTGTGGAATGGAGTTAAGTCCAATCAGCTTCCATATGCAAAAGACCAGGTTGTCGCAGCAGTTGTGGTGTGGGCGGGACCCGGGCTTTGCCTTCTGATTGGGGGCGATATATGCTGAGGAGCAGTGCCATCAGCCATACACTAAGGGAGCGCATTTTAGAATTAGAACTTTGGCACCCACTATTCAATTATATATAAGGAGAGATACTCACCGGGGACTGGGTTTTGGAAAAGTTTACATGAGCGTAGAGAAGAACAGCTATATCCTTGTGCCCTGCCTCAAGAGCTATCGAAAGCGCTGTGCTGCCATCCTTAAAAGAAGAAAGCAATTAATGCATACATGTCTATCTAAACCTTTTAAATACTGCAACAACCCTCAGATATTACAAGGTACAGAAATAAAGGTCCTGTTATTCAGCCAGCCAAGACAATGAATCTTGTTTTTCTTAAAGAAACAAACCATTTCATAATTAAGTGACAAGCTCTGTGCTTCTGTTTTATGAGGCAATTCAACTGCCAGAGGCTTCATAATTTCTCTCAACAAGGGAGCGGTACTATTGCTGAGCACACCATCACCAGAAGAATGCTACAAGTAATTCTATCACTTTGTTTCAGGAAGAAAAAAACGAGATTGCTCAGGAAAGATGAGAGGGGGTAGATATGTGGAGAGGAGATAAATGTTAATCAGATATGAGAATTAGCTATGGTAACTCCCGTTAACAGGACAGCCACATTTTTAATTCTAAATACCTCCCAGAGCAGGCTGTTCTTTACAACTATGCCTTTTCTAGATGATGTGTAATCTGACAAAAAGAAATAATAGACTGTGTAAGAATTACAGGGTGGAAGAATGCATTTAGTTCCCCGCTGGAGGAGGAAATGGCTTTAATGAAACATTTACAGATATAGCTTTTATTTCAGCCACAGTAAAAATTTCCTACAGTATGAGTTTTCGTTCTTGCCACTTCCCCTGCTCTTCTTTAGCCTTTTGTTTTCAAAGGTCCTTTCCGCACTAGACCTTAAATCCCGGTTCAACCCTGTCCCCGAACTTACATTCTACACTACACGCAAGTTAACCCCTGTAATTATCCCAGGGTACTTTTGTTTCCACATTACTTTGAGGTCAATCTGGTTTTGCCCCACAACTTGTCCCGGGATAAACAGATACTGTTATAAACAGGGATAAATGCAAGGTACTGTGCCCCGAGTTGAACTCTGATAAAACCAGGGATAAGATCCAAGTGCGGAAAGGACCGTAACAGAAACATTTGTATTGAAGCACTTCAAGGGACAAGGGTAGGGATCTCAGGCACCGTTTACATACAAGTTGAGATCCATTCAAGTCAGAGCACTTCAGGATCTTGTTGCAGGCAAACAATTTTCTCAGGTTGTTTCTGACATTCACAGAGTTGGTTAATTCTCAGGGTCCTGGGCTCCTTCGTGTCTCCTCACAAGCAACACTGAAGACACCACTCTTAAGCCTATCTCCAATGCATCACAACTTCTAACTAAGGTTTGTTTCCTCACAAGCAACACTGAAGACACCACTCTTCATCACAACTTCTAACTAAGGTTTGTTTATTCCCCAATAATTGGGATTTTAATCATAATTTATTCCTTGTTAAGAGTCCCCAGTTACTGGGCTGGAAACAAACTTCAGTTAGTAAAGGCAGACTCCGAAGCCACAACTGAGCTTGACTCTTCTGTTATAAACCTTGGCATGCCAAGGGGAAGTCAACCCTGGCAAGTAACCAGGTTTATGCCAGACACAAACAGACATCTGACCTGAGCCAAGGAATCTTTCTGCATGAGGTGCACAAATCTCAAGGTGGCATACATGGATTTCTAGATGGTCTTTCTCCCAAGTACTGGTTTCAGCCAAGCTTCAGCAATGCCTGACATTCCTTCAGACCATATCCTACTAGATACTGTATATGAATGCAATATACGTGTGTTTTCAAGTGTGTATCATATAGGTACTCTTGCTAGGGAACCAGAACTGGTACAGTTATATTTGCATGGTGTAATATGCAAAATATCCCTTAAACATGCATAAGGGTGGGCAAAAGTGAAATGTGAATTGCTAGGTGTGGGCTCTGGGACCTTTTACTGGCATCCAAGTACTGAATGGTTCATATATGATGGCTAACAATACTATCAACAGTGGTAAGTTAAACAGGTCGTTCTGCAAAGGGGATGGTGGTGGTGAAACAGTAGTTTTTCATCCAGCATGTACACACAAACCAAGAGAGAACTAGCAACTGGTGGTAACCAGCCCCTCCTCCTAATTTCCTACTACCAGCCATGTTAGTCCTTTGGTTCAATCTATCTCTGAACTAGGCCCTCTACTACTAATAGCCAAGTTTATGTAAAGCACACCTGAAATCAGGAATTTGGCTCTTTACTATCAGGTAGAAGTTACATAGGAATGTAATGATGCAAACCTCTTTCCCCCTCCCTCCATTATCTCATAAGGAATACTGAGTCAAATATAATTTAAATGAAGTACTTGGAGCTTGTGGAAAAACTTACGTTGTCCTCCAAGGTTCCATTACATCCAGGTTGAGCTAGCAAGAGTTTAACTATTTCAACATGTCCATGTTCACTAGCACACATCAAGGCAGTCGAGCCCTCATCATCCTGGATGTTGACATCTGCTCCACAGGCCAGCAAAGCTTTCACCATATCTATTCGACCATGGCTCACAGCAAGCATCAGAGCAGTTTGACCAGCCTACATACAAAGTATATGAAATAATTTTATCCCCTGATCATTCTTTGGAACAAAGATTAGTGCAACAGAGTCCTGCCCAGGACGGTGTCAATAGTTACTCCTTTCCTTTCCTGGCCACAGTTGCCCCCCTCTCCATCTACAGTTGCCTTCCCCTTCTTTCTCTTTCACTTCCCTGCTTCGCTCACTGCTGACAATGTCTCCAAGGCCCAACACCAAAACTCCAGACAGGTTCATTGTGCATTGTGGTTTCTACACCAACTCACAATGGCAATCAAACACTGGCCAGTATTTTTCCTACCTTTGCACATGAAATTATATGACTGGTTGTTTTTTAAGAACATACACATAATTTCTTTGGGGGGGGGGGAACAAGATTTTTCTGCAAATGCAAGGAAACTAAGATTTGCAGAATACCCATTTGTAGTCATGGCTGGCTCTGTTGTACTGATTTTCACTATGTGCATGAAGGATGAAAATAGAGATGCCAGACACCCCCCCCCATTGGGGGCGGGGGTCCCCCAAGTTTTGGGTCGTCTTCTCTGCTGTTGGCCTCCTAGCCAGCAGGGGGGAATTCCCCCCCAAACAGGAAAGAATCCAAAAATAAATGCAACATGCTCAACACCCATTAGTGACATAGGCACATCCGTGATGTCAGAGGGCGAGGCTCTGGTTTTCGGGCAAAACTCTTTGGTAGAAGCTAATTCTACCATAGAGGTTTTACCCACAAACCAGAGCATCACCCCTGATGTGCCTACATCACGTCCGGGTGATGTAGGCATATCATATTTATTTCTGGCTTCTTTCCTCCCCACTCCTGTTAAGTTCACACCCATCTCCCGCTGGCTGGTCCAATGGACCTGGCAACTGTAAAGTAATAGCTAGCTTCTGTATGCACATTCCCAAAATAAGATTGGACTTTTCTTAAACAAATAAACAAACAGAGAAATTCAGAGTAAAGACAGACATAATATCAAAAGATACCCCCTCAGCTGCTGAGTGAGCCAAGCTTCATATCAATAACTACAGATATACCCCACAAATCAAATGCTAGCTCAGCCATCAGCCTTGTCCTCATACCATGCTCCAGGAAAGGTGTCTACATCTTATCTGCAAAACCATCAAACACATTTCTTTGTTATCAGTTCACATGCCAACTTATTGACTGAATATGCAAAACAAGGATTGAGGCTTCCTGAAGATATCAGAGTTTGTGTACAGCCATGTTCTGCTTGCAGTTTACAGAACCACTTTGTTCTGAGTTTAGCTGGGAAAAGGAACAGGCGAGTTTGACCTAAATACAATGAGGATACTTCCAGAACAGCCCCACTGCTTTAAGGCTACCTGCTTTCGTACTTAGAATTGTTTGAGCAGTAGAGGTCAAACTCTCCTAACAAGCCACAAATTAAGCAGGCTGCAAGTTATGAATAGATTAATTCATTGTCTCCAGAAGATACAGAGAGAAAACCGGGGTGCTATGAATGAAATTTGCAGATAATGCCTACGTCTTCTTCCAAGATTTTGTTTTAGGAACAACAATTAAAAATGAATATAACACAAATCAGAGACTACTAACCTGCTGGCACTTACTATAAATTCAGCATTTGATCTAAAATAATTTCAGTTATCACAGTATATCAGTGAGATGCACGTCAGGATAATTACTCTGGCTATTATAATAAAATGGGCACCATGACAAAAAAAGCAATTGAAAATCAATCTAATAAAGTGGGACAGAATTAAAACTAATCCTAGATGCAGCATAAGTCTTCTAGCCATCAGGCCACACCTAAAACCAATCCTAATTCTCTGTCTTCTATGAAAGTCTATTCAATTGCTATGAATAATCTGCATTCAGCAGTACCAACCTGACTGGCTTTAGCGTTCACATCTCCACAGGCAAAGAGCTCTTCCACTATTCTCATGTCTTTCTCAGCCTCCACAGCTGCAAGAGCAGCCAGCATAATGGGGGTATACCCAGCCTTGTTCTGGTGATTTACGTTGCAGACATCTGCAGAGGGAATAGATGAGAGTCTCGTCAGGAAGTTGGAAGCCCAGAAGCACCAATTGTGCAAAAGAACTGAATAAACTGTTATTAGAGCAGCCTTTTGGATCCACAGCAATTGTTTAACATAATGAAGATGATTCAGAAGAACTTCCAAAGGGGAAAAGCGGGGGGGGGGGGGGGTGATCTTGAGCCAAGTGAAGAAAACAACTCTCTTTATTGTATGCATGACAGAAGAGCTGCACAGAAGGCACAAAGCCATGCTTCAGGCAACTGCTAAGGCACTGTTAAATTTAAAAGCAATGATTTAACAATTCTATGAACACAACTACGGACAGAATCAACTTTTGGCCAAAGTTTCAAGCATGAAGAGGGAAAACTTCAGATTTATACAGGACAACATCAAAACAGTGAAATGATGGTGAAATGCTGGCTGAAACATACAAGTTTTGCCCTCACTTAAGAACAGGTACACAAAGAACTGCATCATTGTTTTAACAACGCTTTTGGCACGTCTGGGAGGTTCAGAAAATGCTTGCCAATTAAATGGCTTCCGACGTTGAATGGAATCAAATGCATTCAGTTCCCTGAGGAAGTGCCAGAAACCAGTAATGCTGATGCTTTTGTTCAACCCTAGTACATCAGTTTACCATTTGTTCCCCATAATTTTTACAGAGAGACCCCACTGGGCTTACTAATTTGCTATCCAGTAGGCTGGAATGTGCTTCTTTTATTTAAAATAATATTGGGGTGGAAGGAGCTTGTATACTTCAGTAAAATGCCTGGCACAGTAAAATCAGGGTTTTTTTTAATTTTAAAATTTATTTATTGAAGAAAATTCAAACAGTATAAACAGTAAGTAGAAATTTTGTCACAGTAGGTTTAATGAAACACACATGTATTTCTCAATAGATGAGTATTCGGAAGTGGTGGATAGGCTGAAATGGACAACAAAGGAAGGCGAGAACGGAGAACGCTTACATATGCTTCACCAAAGGGACGGTAGCTGATCCAACTAATCTAGCTGATCCAACTAATTTGAAGTCAGCTACCCATTATGGCTGAGGTGGTGGACATTTTTGGATTTTTAGAATAAGTCACGAGCACCATCACAGGGGTGGAAACTAGTCAGAGGGTCAAAAATACTGATTTTACTGACCAAAATTCCAAAAAACTGACCAAATACTGACAAAAAACTGACAAATTGCTGAATAATTTAATGTCAGCCTATTGATAAGCTAGCATTTTAAAAGTAAAACTAGGTCTTCATTAAAAATGATTATCTGGCCTCCACCATCTCGATAGCCAACCCCATAGTCAGATGTGATCCAGATAAAAGGATTGCACACCTTTTTATTGAATGTTTTAAATGAAGATAGGATATTTTCATTATTGTACAAAATTTAAGGCAAAAAAGATTCCCTTTTAAAAATAATCATATACTGCAGATAATAAAACAGCAAAACAGCAAAAACATATTAAAAACCAAACATAAAGTAATAATTATGACAATAAAACATAATTACTGTAAGGTAAGACTTGTCTTTGCTTGTACTTTATCTTTGGTTTTTTGATGAAAAAAGAACCGGCCAGCAGACTGCCATCCCTGGTGGAGGCCATGTCGGTCTGGGCATTAGAACACCCTAGACCGATTGTCCTGCGTGATTTCAATATCCATGTGGACGATGTGGCCTCCACTCAGGCGATGGACCTAGTGTTATCCGTGGTGGCGCTGGGATTCTCCCAATATGTAATGACTCCCACTCACCGGGCTGGACACACGCTCGATCTGATCTTCGCGGCAGGGGTCACAGTGGACCGGGTCACTGCCTCAGCAGTGCCATGGTTGGACCATCATGCCCTGAAGGCCCATCTGAATGTTTCACCCCAACCTTGTTTGGGCAGCATTAGCTGAGTTTGTGGAGTTGCCACAAGTGCCAAGTTGACTCTTGGCAGCCATCAATGAGATCACTCCCCGATGCCCTCTGCACCCTCACTCTAGGCTGGCTCCTTGGTTTACCCAGGAGTTGCGGCTGATGAAGGGAAGGCTAAGATGGCTAGAGAGACAGTAGCGGTGCGCCTGCGATGAAGCCACAAGAACATCTTATAGGACATTTATGAGATCCTATGAGATGGCAGAGTATTATGCGGCCACGATTGCGTCTGCGAGCTCATGCCCAACCCAATTATTTCGAATAATTTGGTCTATGACTGTTCTGCCACAAGGCAGACCAAATGTTAGGGAATTGGACACTGGCTGTGAGGCCTTTGAGAGCGACTTTGCAGATAAAGTCCTGTCACTCCGCCATGACCTCCCACCACAGTTAAGACAGGAAGTGAACTCGAGGCTCCATGCACGTCTTCTAGTCAGGTTATGGATTATTCCAGTCCGCTCAGCCTGGAAGAAGTTGACATACTGCTCTTAACTGTACGCCCTGCTATGTGCTGCCTTGACCCGTGCCCATCATGACTAATTAAAGCTGGCTGAGATGGGTTTCGAGATGCCCTAAGGGAGATTATCAACAAGTCCCTCTCGGAGGGACAGCTCCCTAGGGCACTCAAGGAAGCTGTGGTTCGTCCCCTCCTGAAAAAGCCAACTCTGGATCTGGCCAAATTGGCTAATTACCAACCGGTCTCCAATCTGCCCTATTCGGGCAAAATAATTGAGAGGGCCGTGGCAATTCAGCTACAGAGCTTTTTGGATGACACTTCCATTTTAGATCCTTTCCAGTCCGGTTTCTGCCCAGGCCATGGGATGGAGATGGCACGGGTCGCCCTCACGGATGACCTCCGGAGGCATCTGGATCAGGGCAGATTGGCAGTGACGTTGCTGTTGGACCTGTCGGCAGCATTCGACATGGTCAACCATTAGTTACTGATCCATCGCCTCGCCGACACTGGAGTCCAAGGGCCTGCCTTGCAATGGCTGGCTTCTTTCCTTCAGGGTCGGGGACAAAGGGTGGTGCTAGGGGAGCAGTTATCTTAGTGGTAGCCCTATACTGGTTGAATGAGCTCCCAGAAGAGATCAGGGCCCTCAGGACGCAGGGCCTGCAAGATGGAGCTCTTCCACCAGGCCTAAGGAGCCGCACCAAATAACTTCAAATAACTGAGAAGTGACAGTGCCCTGGTCCTTGGCTTACCACCAACAGCCTGTGCTGTTCCTAAATACAGAGACCAAGATGAGCCAACCACCGATATGGATCATCTGATTACAACACTAGTATTGGTTCTGCCTTCTGTAAGCATTCTTATAAGTACTTACTAGCACTTTATGATAATGTAGAGCTTTATTATTTGTTTTAAGATTGTATATAATTTGTTACATATATGTTTAATCTCTTTGTAAGCCGCCCTGAGCGCACTCTGGCGGTGAGGGCGGGGTATACATTGAATAAATAAATAAAGTTATTCACGAACTCTTTTGTTTCTCAACAGTTTTCTGCACTGCATCCACAAGCATTTTTCCCTTGTCCTCTTCTTCCATTGCTTTCTCAAGTCCTTCTAGCATGAGCTGTGCCATGTTGAATCCCACAATATCCATCACCTCTACTTTCATTGTCTCATGTTTTAAGTGGTTAATTATGTTTCTATACTTTGTGGAAGATTTCACCAAATCACTTTTACTCTTAGGAACAAAGTCCTTAAAGTACTTCATAACTAAACTGAAAACAATCTGTCTTCTCACTGGGAAGTCATCATGTTTCCCCAAAAATGCAGTAATGAAAATGGAAAAACACAAACTGCATTCACAAAAATCAAAGAAATACTGACTTTACTGACCAATTTTTTTAAAAAACTGACAAATTACTGACCAAGATGGAAAAACGGACTTTTACTGATTTTACTGACCATTTTCCACCCCTGCATCATAAAATGGCTGCCTAAGTGGGGGAGGTGCATCAACCACAAAACAGCTGCCAAATGGGGGCTAGATCCAATCACAAAACATGGACAGGTTTCACAGAATGTTGGGAGATTCCAAGCCAATGGCTATGATGGAAGCAGTTCATTTCAAATGGATGTTCTCTAAAGGCACAAAGGCAATGCTTCCGGGACTGTTATGAAGCATCTTCTGCTTTAGTGAGGTGGAGAAAGGCCAGGATTGACTCTCTGCTTTGAGGAAGAAGGCAGTGGGTGCCAAAAATACATTATCAGGTCCTGGAGTGCTCATGGGCACAATGCTGGTGATCACTGCACTACTCCAGTAAGATCTCAGTTACCAAGTGAACACACAAGTGGCAGGAGTTAAAGCTCGAAGGTAATCCTCAAGTTTACAAAGGATAAAAAATCCTGTACCTAATTTGATGGCTCAGTCAAGTGACCAGCAGCCAACTGGTTCATATAGCTAGAAGACAGATACAGAATATGTTTCCCGTATTTTATCTCCTTTCTAGTTATATGAACTAGTGGGCTGCTGAACACTTCAGATTCTTAAAGTACTGCAAAAATCTTTGAAGCTAGCAGCTTCTAGATGTCTTGAGTTCTAATGGTAAAAATGAAATAAACAAGATTTTTATGTCTGCTCTGGTAATTTTGTTTCTCAGACAGCATTCCAGGGTTGGTGATATCATGAAAAGTTCTATTCTTAAACAGAACATTCAGGACCTCCAAGATCAAAAGACCCAAAATTGGAATGAAAAACCCTTGTCTTGAAGAATAGATATCTGAAGCAGCTAGAGAATCAGAACTCAGAAAAAACAGTGATACTAGTTCCCACAGATGAACTGAGAGGATATCTGTGTAAGGGAGGGTGAAAGGCACATACTGCATTGCTATATCCCAGAACGTAATCTATACTCATGGGATACGATAGTATATGTACAGATCAGACAAACAAAAAAGTCACCAGAAAAGTCAACTTACTTGCATTCAAAAGCAATTTCACAATTTCAAAATTGGAGTGGGAGACACTATAATGGAGAGCAGTGTTGCCGTTTCCATCTGCCATATTGATCACATGTCTAAGGACTGCAGGAGAAACCTCTTCAAAAGCAGTAATGTAGTCCCCAACCATTGAAGGAACAGCCGACTTTTGACTTGACACACGAAACCACTCATGTTGGATGGTGTTTAAAGAAAATCTCTGGCAAAACCAAACAGAGAGTTCAAAGATTTGTTCTATTTATAATGGTATGTTTCATACTGACAGAATGTTCATCTCTTTATCCCTTATAAACTAATATCTACCCATTTTGCCTAACTTCTAGCAACATTTCATTATATTGAAATCACTTTGGCTACTGTGTTATACTATGAATGAAGAATTAGTGCATGCTTTATTAGGGACTGAAATTATACTCCATAGCTTTGGAACAAACAAAAATGGGGGTTCTGAGAATGCAGAAGTACTGGTGACAGACCAGGAGAGGAATATCTTTGTCAATCTATTTACACATACACATAACACACATTTGTGGATAGGAGGCCTCAGGAAAACAGAACCACTCCATGCCCATTCATATATAAGGGGTGTTTAGGAATTCCAGAGTACATCAAGGAATGTGAATATGCAAGCTTTACTTTTAATACAGAAATGGAGGATGTAGCAGAAGTTGTGAGCCAATGTAGTATAGTCATTAGAGTATCAGACTAGCATCTGGGAAAACCAGTTTTGAATCCCCACTCTGTCATGGAAGCTTGCTGGGGGATTTGGATGAGGCATGCCCTCTCCACCAAACCTGCTTCACAGGGGTGTTGTGAGGATAAAATGAAGAGGAGGTAGAAGGATAACTATGGAAGTCATTTTGAGTCCCCATTGGGGAGAAAGGCAGGGTATAAGTGAAGTAAATAAAGTTTTCATGTATGAGTGTGCTGTAATGAAACCTAACTCTATACAAGCCAGAAAAAGGGGGTAAGCAGCAGTACATATGTTCCAGTACATGAAATATTCATTTGCCCATGAAATCAAGATCAGAGTTAGCCATATTTGGATGGATTAGAGAGTATGAAAGTTAAGATCTTCTCCCCTAGTCCCTCTGTCTCTGGAAGCCACATGAGTGGGTCTTTTCTGTAGTGGTCTCCTCCTCTTCCATCCTGAATTGTCTAGTTTCTAGAATCCATGACCATGATGTGTAATTTTAACAAAATTTACTCGTGGTTAGTTTTATTCAGCTTCATATTTAAAATAGTGCTCTATTGCTGTTCCCACTATTTAGGGTTTCTTGAAATTACAGTATTTCCTGATGACAGAGATCAGTTCCCCTGGACAAAGTGGCTGCTTTTGAAGGTGCACTCAGTGGGATTATACCCTGGTTTTGGTCTCCCCACAAAGGTCTGTCTTCCCAAGCTTTATCCCCTTCCCCCCGGATCTCCAGAAATTTCCCAACCCGGAGCTGGCAGTCTTAATACCAGCAGTATAAACCCTTATGGTGACATTTATCTGTGTTTTCACAACATTTTCTTATTAAATGTGCCGTAATCAGGCTGAAGGAAAGGGTATTTCAAAACACATGAGGCTGAAGTGCAGTATTAGCCAAGCAGCTCTAGTCTGCCTGTTTGCACAGTACAAAGCACACTTCAGTCAAACTCCAAAACAGAGAGACAGAAAGAACATTTATTTCTATGTTTGGTAAGAGGCAAAGTACATTCCAGATCAGAACATAAACGTTGCACTTTCCTAAATCAAGTGGAATGTTAACTCCCTCTCCTATGTGCTTTCCCATACATATTAAGAGTACCCAGTTGAAAAGCATGACACTGCACTCCGGAGTGCTGGTTTTAACAACCTGAATGTGTTGTACATATGTGGTCCTGAGAAGTCTGTTTCATGCACTCGGGTTTTTTTTTTTGGCTGCAACAACCACCAGCATAGCAAAGTTGGGAAAGGCGTGTGGGCTAAAGACTGGGCTAAAATTAACACTACAGAAGCAAGGCCACATTGTTCTAATTTAAGGGACTGAATACTTCGCTTTAGTATGTCAGCTCCCTGCTGCATACAAATGTAGTGTACCACATTCCAGTCCCTGGAGAGCTTTGGACTCAATCTGCAGGAATGGCCTGGGAGACGAAGCACCCACTATTCCCAAGGGTTTCTCTTCCATGGTCTGGCCACATATTGCATCACATGATCAAGACTCCAAGAAACAGCAACCGTGTGCAAAGTGCATATTTTCTTTGCTCCTTTAGGCTGCAGCTATATGAAACCAGCAGCTCCTGCTTCTCTTGTGCACCCCAGCTCTACATGCAACAAGCGATTAGGGCTTGTGTTTTATTTATTTATTTTTACAAAGATGCATTGCACTTACTATCTCTTTACTGGCCATTGCCTTTGGGTCATCAATGCTGCTTTTAAGCAGATGGCACGCAGACAACATCTTTTCACTCAACTCATATCTGAGGAAAGAAAAAAGCCAATTTTAGATGATTGTAGTTGTTTTTCAAAACAAAAGCACACATCTCATTCCTCCCACTCATTATTTGTAAATAAATAAACAAAGCAATAAATATATCCTGGCAACAGGAGTCAGTGCAGCATGAGTGCACATAGTACTGACTTCATGTCAAGAATACATGTCTGGTCCCACAGGAGGGCTATGTAAAACACTCCACCCAAAAGTCTTTTCAGAGGCATAAAATAAGCATTTTAGTAACTCCCCACCACCACCTTTAACTCCCCACCACCCTCTCAACCAGTGTAAAGGCACTCAAAAACAAAAACAAAACAACTGGGTAAAAGCCTTTCCATAAACTAACATTCCTGATGGATTGTTACTGGATACGTGGATGTGACTAACCCTGTCAGCACAAAGACACAAACTTTGTGAAGCGTCATGGAGACCAGTTTCGCCACAGAGCAAGAAATTGGGCCATTTCTGGATCAAGATGGATTAAGATCTATCACTGATTCCATGAATGCATATTATAAAACATATTCCATACACTTGGGGTACCTTTTTCAAGGTCTACTCCGGTCACTCAACTAGTGTGTCATAATCTTGGCAATAATTTCTAATGCATGTTTGGTTAATGAAGAATGCTGCTATCAGTTGCACTGGATCAATTAGAAATTATTTCCAGTAGTGATGTGATTCTACAGTTCTGCATAATATATTAAATTATGCCAGCTAATCAAACAATGGACGTTTTATTACAAATAATGATAGAAACATTTAAGAAATGACGAGTGATTAAAATGTATTTATTGTTAAGTAAATATTACTTGATATTGGTTTGAGAACTACTAAAGTATCATAGCTCAGAAGTGTCTACATTCATTTTCTGTCACTGTTAGGATATTTTGTTTGCTGTTTATTTAAATATCCTTGACATTCTACACAGAGCAAAGTCTTCTCAGCTCAATGGGCATCTCATTGTGATTTAAATCTGTAATCCATATTCCTTGATTTAAAATACTCACTGTGCAGGAAATAATAAAAATAAGACATATACTCTCTGCTAGGCAGAGTGGAACATGTCTTGTGTATCTCTTAATATAGTTTTCTAGAGGATCATTCTTTAAAAATACACACAACATAAATCCTGTCCAGGAGATGTAGCACACTGAACTACAATATTTACATGACTTAGGTTTTTAGGTTCTAGCTCCCTTACTTATTTATTAAATTTGATTTACTAGGCCACCCTTCCCTACAAGTAGGGCTCAGGGCAGCTTACAACAAGTAATATGCAATCTCATACAGCCTACACCCCAAATCAGCAGAGGTTATCAGAATGGAGAATCTTTAGTAGGTCAGTGAGCAGAGGTCATTTCGGGGGGGAACGCGGGGGAACGCAGTTCCCCCGGGTGAGGTGCAGGGGGCAGGGCACATGACGAAGCCCCGCCCCCTGCTTCCGGCCGCCCCGCTTCCAGCCCTCATTCAGCCAGGAGGAGGCAGGAGAAGAGGGAGGGTAAGTTGCTCCCCCCCCGCCTCTCCCCACCCCTGCCTGCCTGGGGCCAGGGAGGGCCTTGGCGGGGCTTCCTCGCACTCCCGCCGGCCTTGCAGGTCCACCGCCGGGCCCCTGATGTCAGGGGGTGTGGCATATGCTAATGAGTTATGCTGATGAGTTCCCCTAGCTCTTTTTCTACGAAATGACCCCTGTCAGTGAGACAATATTACAAAAAGGAGCTCCCACAGCTTAAAACAGTTTTAGACCACAGCACCAACAGAGCTCTAAAAATCCCTTCAGCTTAGGGGAAAGCATGCCTCCCCCATGCCTCCATTCAGACACTGAACAAGATCATGGTTTAATTAACTATAACCACCTGAATGTGATTCCTCCCCAGGTTACAGAGAGATGGCAATGAAGCCAGCATTTGCTGAGGTGAACAAGGTTCTAAACTGCCTGTGAGCAGAACCCTATAATTAAAATAACCCATGGTTATTTTCACATGACATATGAACTGAACCACAGCATACTAGTCTTGCTGGCAAGATTCTATTGCTCCCCAAGTAGTAACAGTTAAATCATTGGGGGTTTTATGTGAGCCGCCCTGAGCCTGCTTCAGCGGGGAGGGCGGGATACAAATCAAATCAAATAAATAAATAAATAATGTGCCATTCAGCAATACAGAAGAAGTAGGGAGGGGGAACAATTATCTACCAGGCTGCAAAAAAAAAATCCTACTTTACCACATACAGAAGCTGTCACGCCTGTAATGAGTGGAGATGTGCAATTAGTAAGAACAAGCAGAAGGACAATGTCATTGCCATCATACACATGGTAATAATATGCCCCTGTGTAGGCTTCAGAGTTCAAGTCCCTATTATAAGGAGTCTTCCCATATCCCAAGAGCAGAGTTGTGATATGTGTGATTTTCCTCAGACGCTTGAGAAGTAGAAGCCACTACAGCATTTGGAAGTGGAGTGGTAGATGGGACAGCATCAGTGGCTTCTATCCTCCACTTTGGCCAGTAGATCTAGGTTATGCTCAAAGCAGTTGGTTGATTGTGGGAAATAAAATTAGCAAATACGAGTGCCTTTGTCAAAATCACAGCACTCTGTTCAGTACAAGCGGTCTTATTGAAGAAAGAAAGAGGTGGACGAATATACAGAAGAGCTTGACACAGGACTATAGCATTGCAACAACAGAGAAGATGCGCTTTTAACCTTAGGAAGCCTCAGTACTCCAGCAGTTAGAAGTTAGAGGCAAGATTAAGTCCATAGAGGCAGACACAACTTTAAGGAATGTGCAGTATATAGATTTTGGTTTCCTGAGAAAAATCTGAAGGTCAGTCTCAGCCCCAAACCAAAAGATGTAGACCCTTCAAGTCCTTTTGAATATTCTACTAGTACAAATATTCAGAATGTGGGTCTTATTTTTAATATATACCTTATTGTAGAGAGATGTACCATACCTCTCACGGATTTCCACTTTTTCAGGTTCAGCCTCTTGAACCTGATGCTGTTCTTCCACATGGACAGACTTTATATCTTCTTTGTTTAGCCTTTGCTGTCCGTCTACCTTGAGTAAGCTGCCGTTCTCCTCAATTTGAACATACCCGTTCCCATCACACTCATCATCAGACTCTGAAGAGGAACTTTCTTCTGAACTAGAATCATCACTCGATGTTGTTTCATACCTAGGTAACAAGGTCTTTTCTATCAATACACTGTTATTCAGTGCTAAACAAGTGACTTGATGTACATAAATTTCTATCACTTAAATAAGCTTTTTTAGTCCAATTGTTTATATATTGTATGGATGATGAAAGGAATTATCTTCAGAAAAAACTATTCATTTTGCAGAACAAAGTTTGAGTCAAGTGGCACCTTTGCGACCAACAAAGTTTTCTTCAAAGTGTAAGCTTTCATGTGCAAAACACACTTCTTCAGACAAAACTGGAATAAAATCTCAAAAGCTAGTTACAGGGGAAAAAGAGGGCGGGGGTAGGCTGTTAGGAGAGGCCACTCAGAGCCCAGATGCAAATGCAGAGCTGAAACTGGAATGGGTGGCTGGTAGGATCAATGGATGACAGCAAACTAGACTCACATGCTGAGTCTTTGTTCTCACATGCGCATAGGATCGAGCTTGGTTTTTCTTGGGGGTGCTCTGGACTCCAATTTCGTTATCACATCTCTTTGTTAACTTTCGCATTTACATGCTAGTTTGCTGCCATCCATTGCATCTGGGCTCTGAGTGGCCTTACTAACAGCCTACCCCCAACCCTCTTTTTCCCCTGTAACTAGCTTTTGAGATTTTATTCCAGTTTTGTCTAAAGAAGTGTGTTTTGCATATGAAAGGTTACACTTTGAAGTAAACTTTGTTGGTCACAAAGGTGCCACTTGACTCAAACTTTGTTCTGCTGCTTCTGACCAACACAGCTACCCACCTGAATCTGTAAATTTTACAGTGTGCTTTAAAAGTATATTTCTGATAAAATTCATGGTCGTCTGAAGTGAAAAACACTCAAGGAAGGAGGATCTATTGCATGAAAAAGCAACTGCCTGGAGAAGTGTTGAGGATGTCACAGTATGAAGTCTTGTTTTTTTCCTCCTTTCCTCTCAACTCAAATTTGGTTATTTGGACCATTTTTACATTTGATACTTTGTTATTTTACATCCACTGCTGATACTAGATATGTCCCAAACCTAGCATTTCACTTACCCTCCATTTATACCAACAAACTGAAGATTCTTCTTTGCATTCAAATCTTTGTTCCCATCTTTCTTCTTCATGATTGACTTCAACATGCTCTCATTTGAACATACTAATAGAAAAAATTCCATGAGCATATATTTAGTAAAGGCTTTACACAGTCTTTATGTACAGTTGTGCTTTCAGATCTTAAACTCAAGCAATTCCCATTTAACCTACAGTTTTAAGATGCACTGGTGCAGACAGCTGAAATTGTATGCAAAAGAATGAATGCATTACATGTTACTTCTAAAATCTAGTGCAGAATTGAAACACAGAAATAAGATCAACCAAGCAAATATTTAAATTTAGTTGTACTCAACCCATAAAAGATAAACATAATGATCCAACAATTTGTAAGGCGTATAATTAGTTCATTTTTCTTGACAAAAGAATCTTAATCCATTATATCAAAAGGCAAATAAAATCTAATCAGTTTACAGAACAATAAACATGAATTCCATGAAAAAATGCATCACCAACTGTGCAGAAACATAATCACATGTATATCTAATATTGATAAATCGTCTTTATTTTAAGGTATAAGAGGTATATTTTGGCTGCTGGGATGGCACTAAATTGGACTCAACTTTTACATTTACCACTATTAAAATATTAAACAGAATTAGGGGACACAACCTGTTTCCTATGTGAATTACACTTGTGTATTTCTCTAAATAATTATGCAAGAAGCATGCATATTGATCAAACCAATCATTATTTTCTAAATTAACATAAGAGCAGCAAAAGACAGCACTCAACACAGACAGTTACCATAAAGTCCAGAAGCAAGCTGGTCATCCGTAAGATTAATTGGAGACATAGTGCTGTCTTGGGAAGGTGAGGCTTTCTGGTCCTGTCCTGTCCCTACCATGGCAGCCTTCTCCTTACTTATGGTCCCAACCTCTGGTCCTAGTTTCGACACATGAGAGCTTGAAACTAAACAGGAACTGCCAACGTGGCCACGAGGGACATACAGCAAATTATCTTCTGTCAGCAAAGAACACAAAGGATTACTAAATAAGGTTTTGCCAAACTAAAATTTTACTTAACATTTTTCTTTAGACAATTTCAAATGTTTCATTTGCTGAACAATACTCTAAAGTTACCCATGTTAAAACACATATTTGAAGTTGACTGGAAATAACTTTAAAATCAGCTCCCAAATATGGTCATCCCATTTGTCCCCCCCCCCCATTCACTTCCAACTTGCATCTTCCTCTAGAACTGCACGATGCAGTTATTACTTTTTTATGCATGAGGCCACTTTGAGATGAAGTAGTACTTTTAAAGATTTATACTTTGCCTTTCTATTGATATAGCCATGCCTTTCTGCTTCTGTAATCTTATTTCAATGTGGTTGAAACTTTAGGATACAAATTCTGCTCTACTGAATGAATAGCTCACAGATATGTGTGATAAGCTTAAGGTAGAAAAAGTGCAATTCTGTGGAAAAAAGCCTTCTCAGACAAAAATATTGAAGAATCATTGCTTACCATTCATATGGCTTACCATTCATAAAATGTAACATAGCTATTCAATGGCCATTATGCCTTTTAAATAGAGATATTAGGAGGGATTCCTATAATGAACCAATCATATTTGAATGGTACTTTAAGGGTTAGGGTTTTTAAAGTTTGTTTGAAGGGGATAAGTAACAGGTACATCCATTCAGATAATAGTACTTATGTGGAAGCAGACAGTTTAGTCACTGACATAACTCGATTTTGCTAGTGGAGCAGGACAGGAACAAAAAAATGACTAACATGTACTTGCCTATTTGAATAGCACATATATAAATATAGTTCTGCTTGACTGTACAATTCCCTCACATTCCCATATAATGCCTTTATTTAGGAAAGACAGAACATTATAACCTGTGAGTTGTACAGAAAACTCAATTATACACATTTATACATTTATATACAACACAATTACACACTGTATACATTTATATTCCACCTCAACCTGCCTCAAGTATTGGGGGATTTGGGGGGGGGTTAATCAGAAAATTTGCCAATGTAAACTTTGCAAGTTTTACTTGCATTTAGCTTAAACAAAAGTAAAAAAAATGAGACATATTAATTTTACTTTTTAATAAAAGTTTTTCCAATGGCATCTGAACTGAAACAACTGATGGGGGAGGGAATCAATGAAGTACACTTAACTTGGTTTTAATGGGTATACCTAGAGAAATATAGAAAAAACCGTCAATGCCTAACAAAGACAGAAGAGGGAGAATTCAAGCATTTTAATGGGTATACCTAGAGAAATATAGAGGGAGAATTCAAGCTACCATTGCTGCTTTCTCGTTCTTGGGAGTGAGACGGGACATCCCTGAAGAGGCTTGTGGCAGGCCTCAAGGTCTTGAACAAAAGACACACTTAGCCCACTGGCCTTTCTTCTTTTCAAGAAGCATCAGAAGGATGGACAGGCCCACAGTGATATTACACAACTGATTTTAATGGGAGAGGATGTGCTATGCCTCCTGAGGGCAGCCAGTATAAAGGATCAAGAAGGGGAACAAGGAAAGAGCATAGCGGGGAGAAGCTAACCATTTGCCTCGGAGGCAGGCCACCTCTCAGAATGTGAACTGTGGCTGTGGGCTATATGGCTGCCTCTACTACAGACAGGCATGTACTGTACATAAAACCAACCTTCCCCACACTGGCAAGGTAAAACAGATTCTAGTGTGTCACACTGACAACACAATTAAATTTGTGTTTTGACTTCCTGTCCTCTCTCTTCTGAACATTATTCCAACTATCTCTTTTTTTGCTTTTTTGCTTTGCTTATTTCTAGGCCTGTCATCATTAATTTGCTTAAATAATAAAGGATTATGTTACTGACGAAATACGTACACGGTCTCATCAACGCCACAGAGGGCAGGATCCAATTGCTTGTGTTTAACAGTAGCAACTACTGCAGAGTAAAATGCAGTCAAGAACTTATTTCTGTCTGATTGAAGTTAGCACCAGTCAAGACACAAAGCAAGAAGAGAATCAGAGCAATGTATACATTACAGCAGCTTAAACAGAAAAGTACATGTGAACATCCCAGCTGTGGAGTGCAGCTGTCCTGAAACAGTGGGCCAGTTTTCTTTAGACTTCAAGCTACACAGAAAGTAAAGTCTTCCACCTGGAAGCCATTATGCAAAGCAGGTTCTTCTTATTTTTCAATATTAATCAATAATAAGGTATTTGATACATTTTACACCACACTTCCTTCCAAGGAACTCAGGGTGGTAACATCCCCTCCCCCAATGCATCCTGATAACAACCCTGGCAGACAAAGTATGAAAGTGACCGGCCCAAGGTCAACCAATATGATTCATTGCAGAGTAGTAGTTTGAATGCAAGTCTTCCAGTTTGAACCCAACTGGTGGTGTCTTGACACTTAACTGCTACATCACATTAACTTTCCTTTGATACATTTTTAAAAATTGACATGTTAAAGCACTGTACAATTTACAGCATAAAACAGAAAGGGGAGCCCATTTTATTTGTTCACTTGGTGAGCATTTTTGGCTCCACTAAATGACATATGCGCGCGCGCACACACACACATGCACGCACGCACAGAGTGATGTACCAGAACAGAAATAAAATATATTAAATAGGTAACTGATATAAATGCACGAATGTTATTATGCTATCAAGAATGATTTCAGAGGAGACTCTGGGGTTGCAGTGCTACAGAGCGGCAGGTGCTCAGCCTCACTCCTGAGCACCGCCGATGGTTCGTTGCTTTTATTGGAACTCTGGGTTTCCCGGGTTTCACCAGCCCTCCCGGAGAGAGGTCTGGAGCAGGAGACTTGTTCTGAGCCCCCCGCGAGCGGCTGCGAGCAGGTAGGAGCCGGATCGTCTCAAAGCGAGAGCACGAATGAGCGCAGTCACAGCCTGCCATGACTGCTTAGTGGTGAACGCCCGGCAAAGAAAGCACCATACCTCATCTCCAACATCGATGAAGAAACAGTGAGTACGTGTACAAAGCAACATTAAAGAAGTAAAAGACCCTTTGATTAAGCCCCCTTTGCATCCACGAGGATGAGGAAAGGAGAAGGAGAATTTCCCATCCCCTTCTCCTTTGTGTAATCGGCTAGCAAAAGTACCGGATATAAAACTTTATAAAGAACTACAAGGGGAATAAAAAAAGGGACATAAATAATCTTATCTGAACATTCTACCACTTTTATTGGAATTACAAACCAGCCAAATTTCTGGCTTTTATCAAAAAGAAGAAAAAATATAGGCATCTTAAAAGGAACTTCCTTATATGGTAACAGACTTCCTGTACGTCAGTCGTGTTTTTGAAGTCTTCTGGGCTCAGAAGGCATTGGATAAAAGCAATCACCTAGCCTTTTACTGAAAGACGTTTGGTTGTTATTATGTCTGCTACAGCAACTTATCCAGCAATGTGGTTTAACTTCTAGATTGTTGACAGACTGAACTGCTTGTACTTTCTTTTGTACTGGGGTTGCAGACATCGCTTTTAAAATGGATTTCCAAGCGAGAAATGAATTAAAACCTCTAAACCCAGATGATACTGCAGGCGCTGAGCTGACTCAACTTTCATGGGATGCTCTTAAAAACACAATTCGGGGACTCGATTATATGCAGTTCACAAGGGCAAAAGACACAGGAACAAGATCCTTTTGAAGAGAAGATACCAGACAAAGAAAAAAGATGTTAAGCTTTATGTATAAAACTGCTATTAAGAAAATCTAGCCTCTCTCCATATAAGAGTGCTCTAGGGAGTTCTTATTAAAATGTAACTAAACAAAATGGCTTGTTTTATTAAGAAATCAATTGAGAGAGGTGATGATGTAAGGATTTTTAGTAAAATAGTGGATAAAATAGTTTTGTAGGTGAATTATAAAGAAGGAGCATTTATCTTTATTTGTATTAAAAACAAGGCAATATCTCAGAAAAAAAATTGGTATATCGGTTTTACAGGGAAAGTTGAACTTGTAAGGAAAAATAGGAGGGGAAGGACTTTATTAAAGATAAGAAAAGATTAAGAAAATATGAAACTTTATAGTAAGAGCCTTTGAATCTATATTATTAAATGATACTAATACCAGAATGTTTAGATAATTTCTAAATGAAATCACATATGTATTGTCTGATACTTCTAGCTGCAAATATTATTAGGTTATTGGTTAAACTTTCTGTTGTAAGTTTTAAGGGAGAGATTAAATCTGGATGTATCACAAGATATTACTCTCATTTCATTTGCATTTTTGGAAAATCAATAAAAATCTATTATGAAAAAAAAGAATGATTTCAGAAGAGTGTGTGTGAGTGCGGTCTGACACATAAAACTACTGTTAAAGGTAAAGGTAAAGGTTCCCTTGCTCGAAAGCCAGTCAAATCCGACTCTAGGGTTGGGCGGTGCTCATCTCCGTTTCAAAGCCGAAGAGTCAGTGCTGTCCGAAGACGTTTCCGTGGTCATGTGGCCGGCATGACTAAACACCAAGGCGCACAGAATGCTGTTACCTTCCCACCAAAGTGGTACCTATTTATCTACTTGCAATTTCTTACTTTCGAACTGCTAGGTGGGCAGGAGCTGGAACTAGAGATGGGAGCTCACTCCATCATGCGGCACCCGGGTCTCGAACTGCTGAACTATTGACCTTCCACAGCCTGCAGTTCAGCGTCTTAACCACTTGAGCCACCGCAGCTCCTTCAAAAAACTACTGTTACTTCTACTGTAAAATACGACACCACTATTTATTCTAGGGTCAGTAATCACTTTAAGGTTGAGCCCTGTACAGAGAGAAGGAAATCTGTGTGAGGTCATTATACATTTTCAAAAAGTCTAAAAGGTGCAAGAGAACTAAGGGCATTATATCGAGGCAAGAACTGAGCAAAATAGCAGGATGCTGCTCTAGCTTAAAATAACAAAGCGATTGATCACACAGGCTTCTTGCATTAAAAATGGTGACATTACAACAAGAACAAAATGATCCCTTAATATTTTTGGCAAGAATTTGAAACAGAAGTCCCAGTAAAATGCTTATATTAGTGGTTGAATCACAGGCTCCACCTGTGTCTACTCTTAAATTTTCTCATCTCCATGCCTGACAGGAGGAGAGACAAAATAGCATATTAACACCTGGATAGAATTCCAAGTAACTGGAGTGAAAATGCCTTTTCAATACTTAAATACTTGTTGTCATTACAGTTCTGAAACTGTCTACGTGACCGGCCAAATGTATGTACTGAATATAGAACGAATTACATATAAAGGGATTATACTTCTATTCAAATAATATTTAGCCTTGAGGGGTGGAAACGGGAAGAAATAACTAGCATGTCTAGTACTGTTCTAACCACTGAGAGCAGCAGTTAATTTCAGGTGTCTCTCTGTATTCTAGAACAAGTCTAGGTACTTTCTGCATCACCTGGGAATGCAGATTTGGCTTTTAATTCTCTTGCCTTCATATTAAATTTGTATAATTGTACCCATGAGCATGTGAACACCCAACCATGATGAATCTGATCTAGTTTTCTTAAGGAGAAGCAAGAGTGCCTTCAGATAACATCACAGAGTAACCAGGCTCCAAGATTACCAGCATTCCCTTCAATTAAAACAAATTGTTGATTTTATACAAGTGACTACAGACCTGTTCCCAAAGAGCTTCCCACTCTCCGGGAATATGCTAGGATAGGGCCAGTGGCCTACATGGGATCTTTGTTCTGACTGTGTAAAAGCCTAGCCCACCTTACTGAGATTCAAGATTCTGTGCTGCTCCCAAAACATCTGGAGAAGAAACAATGACAGATCATGGCATTATGTTCCCTATCCCCTGCATCAACATCAGCACTGCCAACAACTGAAACCAGTTTTTCAGAACCTACTATAAAAAGCAAGCAACATTAACAAAGTGGAAAGTAGAATATAGTCATAGGGATATTGAAAGCGAAGGGAAACAAATGGAAGCGTTCACAGAAATGAAATGAATTTGGGGCTCATGTGGTATAAGCTGATCTCCTTTAGAAATACCTCCAGCCATAATTTTAGAGTCACTTCCTGCCATCAAGCAGGATCTGATCTCTAAAGATGCTAGCTATATAAAGGTTAAATACCCAGGGAAACAAAATAGACCATAACTCAGTCACTGGGTATTTTTAGTTATATTAGGTATTCGAGCATTGATACCACTCATAATTTCAGTGTCGTCTACAGTATTAAGACAGGAATCTCTTTCTCAGTCTTTTCATTCCATTGAGAGGCAAAAAATGGCATAAGCCGTTTAGTGCACTACATTTTTAAGACCCCTCCCTTCATGCCATCTTTTTAGGATCACCTCTCTAAGATATCACCAAGGTACACAATTAAAAAGTATGAAAGTTCACTCAGCATACCTTTTGTAGCAGTTTTGTCCATGCACTGTTTTGGAACATCTAAGCTGCGCAGCTCCTCAGTGCTTGCATATTTCATGACAGTGTTGATTGACGAGAGGGTGCTGATGAGCTGAGAATTGAGAGACCCAATTTGTGAATGAGGCTCTCCAAAAGCTTCTGCTAGCTCAGAGTAGTTTTCGGCAAGAAGCATCTGCTGCTCTTGAACCAGCTTCTGAACCCGCTCTATGTAGTGATCTAAGCCAGTCCTCATCTCAGGGAGAGGGAATGGATTGTCCAGCACCAGACTTCCTGATTCACACACAGATTCATCCCCAACACCAATGCTTCTAGTGCTGGCAGGCACTACTGACACTGGAGGGGGACCACAGGCAATGTTTCTCATTTTCAGGCCAACTAGATAGTTCTCATTAATACTGATCTGCCCCACTCCAGTATCTTTGGTCTTTGGTAGAGAAGGTTTTTCAAAGCCGTCCATGGTAGAAAGCAGCGTTCCAACACCAATGGAACGAGTTTTAGGAGCTGTATTTATGTCCTTTACCCTACCATCTCCCACAGCCACGGTCCGCATTTCCACAATAACGGTGTTTGTCTGTTTATCATAAGTACTCAGCAAAGTGTTGGTGCTGGAGTCAGTTAAGGAAACCATTTCTGTGTTGGTGAATTGGTTATCCTTTTCTAATACTGTATTGGTTCCCTGGGTAGCTGTACAAGGCACTGCCATGACTCCAGAATCCACTTTGCAACCAGTTTCCGTGTTCGTGCTGCAGGACACAGTCTCTGTTGATGGACAGTCTGTCAGACAATCCCCACAGCCTATAGACCTCACTTCAACTTTCAGCTCTAATTTGTGCAAGCTTAGACTGTCCACAGATTCTTCTGTATTGACTCCAGTTTCGCAGATGCTCATATCTGTTCCCACACTCTTGTTGCACATCTCAACAGATCTCCCAACACACTGGTTGCACACTTCTCTCCTCTCCTTTACAATCCACCAATTCATTGGCACATCTGGCCCTACAGCTGCACTCTGTAACACAGGCCTACAGGATACTCCAACATCACTCATCTGGAGATAGCTCCCTATGCATGAATCAACAACGTCCACGTGACCACCTACCATTTGGTCTCTTGTCTGTACCACTGCCTCCACTGCCCTGCTGAAGACATGAGGCTGAGCCATCAGTGCTTTGTCCACTTTTTTTCTAGACCCAGCTGCCTGAAGCTCATGCTTTAATTTGGTCATTTCCCTGTCATGAGTTGTTTCCCTCAACTGAACCTCCAGCCGGTAGATTTTCTCTTTAAGGGCTTCAATCGTCTGCTGCTGGAGTTCTATTTCCCGCTCAGCCTCTGTAGACAGGCCAAGCATCCCCTCTGTCACTCCAACGCTAGAATCTTTAGTTTTGTTCTCAGTCCCTATTGCTACATCCCTGCACACTCTCAAAGTTCTGTTATACACAACAATATCATTCATATTTTCCTCCGTACCCACAGCAACAGACTTCTTTTCTTTCATTACACTTTCACGGTTCACTCTCAGGTTAGAAGGGGTATCATAGTTGCTGTCCTGTATTTTCTTCTCTAAGGCTTGCATTTCAGCAGTCAACTTCCTAAACTCTTCTACCTTTTCTGAGCTCTGTTCCACACTCCCCACTTCTTCCTCACAATCTATATAAAGTTCCCCACCCCTCCTGACTGGAGAGAGATGCTTCCACTGTTCTGCATTTCCTGCACTGTAAGACCTCTTTCTGAAATGGCCTGTGTCATTCTGGTTGACTATTCTTTGGCTTTTGAGCTTTGCCATCATCTGCCTTTTCTCTTCCTGCAATACTGAAATCTTAACCTGAAGCACAGGAATGGTCTTCACTTGCTCCTCAAGCTCCTTGAGGTGTTTGAGCGCAATAGCCATTTGTTCCCTGATGTGTTGCAGGTGAACTGGGCTAACATTGGTCACAGGTGTTGAGATACCTGAACTCAAAGGACTATGTCTGATGGAACTGCCCAAAGAGGATGTTAGATAAACATTGTAGTCTCCATTTCCCTGATGCCCATTCTGAAACTGCTGAGACATCTGATTGTGCCCAGTGGATCCAACAAAGGAGGGAAGTGAGCTTGTTGAACCCATGGCTCCAAAACTGGAAAGCCTGGGCCTTCGGGTTTCTCCTGGGATCACCTGCATTGCAATCTTTTCCTGTTCCAGTCGTCTCCGTGTTTCCATTAGAGTTTTGGTGACATGAAGGTTGTGTCTAGGCAGCTGTGGTGAGGGAGGCAGTAGCTGTTTGCTTTCAGGGATGGTTAAACAGTTTGGAGAAGCTTCAAAAGACAAAGATGGTCTTGTGCAGACTGATGTTGTTGCTTGGCTTCGTGCTGCAAAGAGGGATGATGAATGTTTGTTTTCATCACTGTTGGATGAAGAAAGAGATTCATTTGAAGTCCATCCACTGTACTGGATACCCGTGTTTTTGCCAGTCACAAAAGTTGGTGTCACTTTCTTCTTTTTCTGAATGTTTAGTTTTTTTATAGTGTTTCCTTTTTGAATATCTTCCACATATTTGAGAAAATCCAAGTCTAACTGGTAACCATACGGTGTTTCCACAAAATAAGGATCTTTCTGGTCTCTGTCATCTTCCCCACTCAGAGTATTTTCATCTTTTTCTGAAAGGAAAAAAAAAAAGGAAAAAAGGTGAAAATCTTATAAGAAATTAGTTTTAAACACTACTCAACCATCTTTAATCAGTGTTCTATACTTGAGAATCTTCCAAATAAAACTTTTTCTTGGAATTTTTTTTATTAGCACATACATACCTTTTTAAGAGTATGTCAAACTTAAAATAGGCACAAATGTCACATAAGTCACTAAACGCCCCTCTCAGTATACTGCTGAAAGTACTTCAAGAAAATCCTATGTTACTACTATAGCATAATATTGTTTTACGCACAGTAGGCTACCTATGAAAGGTCAAATAATCCTCAGTATTACAATGAGCTATAATACTGCTTAAAGGATTTCTAAGGGTTACAAAAAACAATTTCTCTTTAAATTTGCCAGTATTATAAGACTTGTAGCAGTAGTTTAGCACAAACTGTTTAGATTTTAGCACAAAATCTAAAGAGGCAGTTGTCCACACTTGGAAGCAGATTCATTTGTGATTGTTTATGTAGCTTCTTATATATCTCTATACTGTGTACAGTGACATATTAAAAACTATGCAGCCAGACCCGTTTCTAGCGCACTCTAAAATATCTCAGCTGAAAGAGAAACTGCCAGCTCAGATGTCAGGACAGCCCAGCTTCCTGCAGACACCAGAGTCGCATGTCGCACCAAAGCAGTCTAAATAAAACTGCAGCAGACCTGCTCAGCCTCTGCAGGCAGACTATTAAGACCTGTTCTTGCTGTATAACCTGCTTCTCCCGCCGACAAAAAAGGTAAGAACTTCTGAACACCAGCACAAACGGTTTTCAGATTTTCATTTACATTACCTTAAAGTTTCTCTGCTTCTGACAAACACACTTCTGTCCAAAGTCTACAGGCCCCGGACTGTTCCCTGCAGTCACAGCTTTATACGTCAACAACCTCTTTGCCTGAAAAATCCCTGCCTCTCAACTTTTTCCTTATGGGGTGATGAGAAATGCTCAGCTTTAACGTAAATACAGGCAAGCAGTTCACAAAGTTTCATAGGCTGAGCCTTCTCCAATGAGTGCCCAGTTTTAGCTCGGATATGGACGGAAGGGGGAAAAAAAATCTCCTTCTGCCACTCCTTTTCAGCACACACTTTTCTCTTAATGGAACAGCCTCTTAAAGGTATATGATCCTTCACTTTTTCTACAATAGTTTTACAAAACAGACAATATTTAAAGGTTATTATACCCATTATATGTATTATTTGCACTTTTTCAGTTTGTCCTCAAGAGAATAGTGCTCAGACTGCCTTATAAACACAAGAATGTACTATGCCATCTCTTTATAGAACCTATGGATAAAATCTGGATGCTTTTTCTTTAACTGGTAGGTTTTCAGTGGGAGAACCAAGAGTTAAAGCAGGGATTTCACCAACATCCTCAATTAGTTCTCTCAGAAGATTTCTGTTAATGTTCTGTTAAGCCACAAAAACAGTAGTTATTTGCTTGCCAGCACCCCAATAGCTTTCCTTATAGCCCTCTATATACTACAGTATATGAAAATGGTATTATATGAGAGTATAATGCAAAGCACTGTTTACTAGCAGCGTGAAACACAACAGGGTACTTGAGAGCAGATGGAACAATGGGGTTAAATCCATGGGCACACTAATATAGGTTTATTATTAAAATATCACTTTGCTTGGCATTCAAAACATAAAAGAAGAGATTGCTAAACCATTCGTCCCCCCCCCCCCGCCATGGGGATATAAGTTTCCCTTGCTTCAAAGCTAGTTGAATCTGACTCTAGGGGGTGGTGCTCATCTCCATGTCCAAGCCAAAGAGCCAACGCTGTCCCAAGACGTTTCCGTGGTCATGTGGCTGGCATGACTAAATGCCAAGGCACACGAAACGCTGTTACCTTCCCACTGAAGTGGTACCTATTTATCTACTTGTAATTTCTTGCTTTCAAACTGCTAGGTTGGCAGGAGCTCAAGTCAGAGACGGGACTGTCATGCAGCCCTAAAGTCTCGAACTGCTGAGCTACAGACCTTCTGGCCTGCAGCTTCAGCGTCTTAACCTCTGAGCCGCCGTGGCCCCTCATGGGGGTATAAATAATGACAGGTGTCTTAAGATTCAAGGCCACACCCAGAGCCTAGAAGACTGACCACCAGCCTCCATAGTTAGTATAAATTCTCTCAGAACTAATGAAACATGAAATTGCCTATGAAATAAAAATCAACTGAAAACCAATAAATTCTTTAATAGAAAGAAAATGTGAAGA